AAGGGTCACATAGCTCAGGAGGTTCAAATCCACCAGTGGCTCAGAGGAAGAAAGATGGGTAATGTCCCCTCCTGAGAGCCTCAGAAGCACAATAGAGGATTAGCTGTTAGTGATTTCTGACTCAGTGGCAGCGTATTTGAGGTTTTGAGAGAGCAACAGGATGGCTATGAGATGTTCTTCAAGGAGATAGTGACACAGTGACCACATCAGTGGGCTTAAGCATGGTGGAGATTGTGAGGACAGCACAGGGCTGGACAAGGTTTTGATCAGTTGTGTGCAGAATCTCTATTAGTCAGGGTCAACTTGACGGTGTTTAAAAGCAACAACTACCCCAGTGCAGCCTCATGTTAACTGAAGACATTTTCAAAGATCTTTCCAAACGAGGTACTGTTCAGAGAGAGCAGAGTTGAGGACTTTGACACATCTTCTAAGAGAACGCAATCCACCCATCACATCAGAAGTCAAAGAACTAGCAAAGCCTGGAATCACGTTTAGCCTTACAATATGTAGGGGACAAATGATCCGTTTTGGTGGGTTGTTTTAAATCTCTACCATAAATGTCTCCTTGTCATCAACCTACCAATCTCCCACCTGCAGCACCATGATGAAGATCACTCTGGAAGGACTATCTGGATTTTATCTCAGAGACCACTAGAATGCAGATACCTCTCCTTGGAAATTCTCAACTGTGAAATATTAGAATGTGTACAACATCTGATTTAATTGAAATGGGTCCAGTCTTACAGATGGGTTTAACAAAAATCACAAGTCAAATAGTTCTCCCTGTTGTTGCTGTTGTTAGGTGCCATTCTAGAGTTGAGTACATCTCATAACCACCCTGTGAACAAGAGATCTGAACCCAGACCAACCTGTGCCGTCCTCACTGCCTGACACACTTGAGCCCATTGCTGCAGTCAATGTGTCAATCCACCTGGCTCTCCCTTGCTGTTACACTTTCTTTTTTTTAAAATTATTAATTTTGTGTTTGTGTGTACCATCAAATCGGATCTGTCTGGTAAAGGAGGAGATTGTCCCTCCTTCAGCAGAGCATCTGAGACTGCAGTGCAGCTTCTTGCCACTAGGCCACCAGAGCCCGCCAGCTGTTAATATTTTCATATGCTTTGCCTACCTTTGCCAATCCTGGGTCTTCTGACCTTTCAGCAGCTCTCCTCTGGCCTAACTTTTCCATTTGACTTAACACCAATGAAAGATGCAGGTGGTCCTGCCATTGGGAGATGCAGATTAGAAAGAGAGCAGACATGTGTGCAGACTACTGCAGGTCAAGAGGAAAATGAAGAGGGCTGAAGACCAGAGAGCATTCTGAAGGCTCAGAGGCTGTGTGGAGAAGGTTTCACAGCGGATACCTGTGTTTGCTACGTCCAGATGGAAGCAGCAGCACCTCAGATTGTGGGACAGAACAGCGATGTTATGGATTAGATGGCATCTCCCTAAAATATGTGTCAACTTGGCTTGGCCATGGTTCTCCTCATTATATATTTGTTCTCCATGTTGTGACCTGATGCAATTATCCTCTGTGTTGTAAGTCCTCATCTCTATAATGTTAGGGAGGTCTGGTGGACTAGTGATAAGAAGCTGTGCTGCAATCCCAAAGGCACGCAGTTTGAATCCACTGGATGCTCGGTGGGAGGATAGACAATTTCCTCCTGCACGATTTACTGTCTCTGAAAACTCACTGGACGGTGAGCCATGAGTTGGTTCTGACTAGATAGCACACACAACAATAACAACAACAACAACACCATGTTATGAGGCAGGGCTAGAGGCCGTTATGTTAACGAGGTAGGGCACAATTTACAAGATTAAGTTGTGTGTTGAGCCAGTCTCTTCTGAAATAGAAAACATTAAGCAACCAAGCAGCTAGGATCTCTTGCCACCAAGGAAGAAGAGCCAAGATAACAGTGATAACAGTGTGTCCTTTGGATCTGGGGTCCCTCTGCTGAGAACTTTCTGGAACTAGAGAAGATTCATGCCAAGGAACTTCCCCAGAGCCAAAGCTTTGCACTAAAATCAAACTTCTAGACTTGGGAAAGGTTGAAGCTGTCAAGAATTTTACCTCAAATCACAACCAATGTCCATAGAAGCAGCAGTCAAAAAATCAAATGATACATTGTGTCAGGGAAATGTTGTTGTTGATGATTGCCATCAAGTCGAGCACGATTCATAGCGACCCTATGAACAGAAGGCCTGAAGCTTTTCTAGAACTATTGTCATTTATCAAAGTTCATAGAGTTTCCGGAGGCATGTTGTTTAGGAAGTGGATGTCACTTCTGCTTCCAAAGCAGGGAAGTACATATCAATAAACCTCTTTAAAGTGCTAGAGAGAAACAATGTGACTTTAAGGACTAAGGTGCACTTGACCCAAGCTGTAGTACTTTTAGTCAATTCCTATACATTCGCAGGGAGTTCTGGTACTCTATGGAGAGGGCTGCTCTGCTGATCCAAAGATATACAGTTCAAAAGCACCAGCTGTTCTGAGAGAGAAAGATAGGCAGTCTCCTCCCAGGCCATTTACAGCTTCCAAAACCCCACCGGAGGGTCAGCTGTGAGTTGATTCTGACTCAATGGCACATAGCAATAACAACATGCATTCAAAAGCTGAAAAGTAAATAAAGAAGACTTAAGAATTGATGCCTTTTAATTATGGCATTGGCAAAGCCCACAGATAAAAAATATACCGTGGACAATCAGAAGACCAAACAAAGCTGTCTTCAGAGAACTGCAGCCAGAACGCTTCTGGGAAGTAAGGATGAGGAGACTTTGTCTCACCTATTCTGACACATTCTCAGGAGGAGTCTGTCCCTGAGAAGGACAGCAAGCTTGAGGGTCAGTGAAGAAGAGGAGGATGGGCTGCACAGCAGCTGCAACCAGGAGCCCAAACACAGCAACAGTGGTGAGGCCACGGACGGTCCAGCAGTGTGTCCTCCTGTCCTCCTGGGGTCACTGTGGTCAGAGCTGACTCCATAGCACCTACCAGCACCAGTGGGAGAAGACACTGCTGTTTCATAAAGCTGTCCAGAGTGGTATTTCAGTGACAGCAGCACATGATAACTGAGGTGGGAGGGGGAGTCCAAGCAGGGGCTGGGCCAGGGCTTCTGCAGGGCGTCCATGCACTTCTAATCTGGTTGTGTCCTCCCTGACCTGCTCTTCTGTCCTTCCCTCCTGTTCTCCTTTTCTTGAAATAGCCCTCAAGTCTCAGGCATCACCTCCATGTGGTGATGCTCCCTGTTGACCCTGCCTCACCTGGGACCCGGAGGGCCGTTTCTCTTCCTGTCCTGGAGTTGGGCTTCATCACTCCTTACATCTCTATCCCAGGCTTTCTCTCTCACCTAGATGCCAATATCAAACTCCAAACTGTCATACAGCCAGTGAATGTAATGCCCCCTCACCTGGGTGATGGAGGTAGGCGGTGGCCTTGCCCAGGACAGGACCAGCAGAGCTGATAGAACACAGTCTGTAGCCCCCTCCCAGAGGTACAGAAAACAGACCTCTGTGTGTGCCATGATCTGGGGAGCCCAGCGGGTACGTGGGCTTTGGCACCCCATCCCCAGTGCCCTGGAAGCTCCACTGAAAGTTCAGACAGCACCTGTGTCATAGCTTGAAGTAGCAGTTATAGAACAGTCCAATCGAGAACACGCCAAATACACACGTCTGAGAAAGGAAACCGTGGAGGGGGCCTGCCCTGCACTAGCCTTCTTCCCGAGGACACACCTCTCCATCCCGTCACCTTGCCCAAGAAAGCTGAGGTTCCTCTGTCGGCTGAAGAGCACAGTGCTTAGACAAGAGGGCTCACGGTCAGCTGGACCAGGCCCACATCCACGGGGTACACTTTCTGCCTGTGTGAGTCCTTGGGCCAAGCACTCCAGGTCTTTGTTAAGAGACAGAGTTAGGAGCAGGGCTGTGGACACTAGATCACACAGCATATGCAGCCTTCAGAGAAGTACTTCTTGTTGTTATGTGCCGTCTAGTTGGAACTGACCCGTAGCTGATCCTCTGCAAGGTTTTCAGAGGCAGTTAATCGCACAGGAGGGGACTGCCCATCTTTTTCCAGTGCCGCAGCTGGTGGATTCAAACTACGTATGTTTGCATTAGTAGCACAATCCCTTACCTCTAAGCCACCAGAGCCCCCTCGGGCAGAACGTCATAAATATCAACCAAATGTGAGTGACCTTTGTCGTTTGCCACTATTGTCACCGTCCTTGTTCTTGTTGTCACTCACATCATCTTTTTCTCCCTACTAGTTTATTTACAAAATTCAAATACAAATTTGAACAAATTCTTTCAATTTCCCTCCCCCCACCATCAAATTGTACAACTGGATGATTAATCCCCTCCTCCCCCTGCACATCCACATCCCTCTGCTTCCAGCCTCTCCCACCCTCCTGGATCCTCGTTCTACAATAACAGTCTTATACAATATTCATCCTTGTGGGACTGTGTTAGTTCACTCAGCACAGTGCTCTCCAGTCCTTCCCAAGTTAGGTAATAATTTCCAAAGTTATTGCTCCTGCGTGCTGCATAGTATTCCATTGTGTGAATATACCATAATTTCTCAATCCATTTGTTTGTAGTTGGACATTTAGGCTATTTCCATGTTCTTGCGATGGTGAATAATGCTGCTATGAACATTGGTGTACAAGTCTCTGTGCCACAGTTCTCATATTCTCAGGGTATATTCCAAGTAGTGGAATAGCTGGGTCTTATGGAATTATTATGTTCAGCTTTTTGAAGAAGTGCCAAACTGCCTTCCAGAATGGTTGCACCATTTTACAATCCCACCAACAAAGAGTTCCTATCTCTCCACATCCTCTCCAACATCTATTACTTGCTGCCCTGTTAAACTTTGCCCCTGCTACTGGAGTGAGGTGGTGCCTCGTTGTGGTTTTGATCTGCATCTCTCTTATTGCTCTTATTGTCATCAGCATCCTTGTTGTCACCTCTTGTCACCTTCACTGTCATCATCACAGGTCATTGTCATTATCATGGTCATCAGCACCGTCATTGCCGCCCTCACTCTCACTGTCTTCATCGGCATCCTTGGTACAGCCATCACCATCGCCGTCTTCACTGTATTCGTCCTTCTTACTGCCTGGCACTCCACACCTGTTTTGCTCAAGCCTTAACCTTGTCCTTGGTCTCCACGGCCCACTGCTCTCTTGTCTGCCGCCTCTCTGTGCTTACATGGGCATCCCTCCAAGGCCACAGCCGTTCCTCCATCATGGTTTCTGCTCACGGTCTTCCCCCTTGCCTTGTGCCCTACCCATATCAACTCTTGACCATCACTGAGGTGTCTTCTCACCCCTGGTGCTGCCCCAATGTCCAGCTCACCAGATGCTCTCTCCTCCTGGCCAGTCTTCCGTGGGCTACCTTTAACTCTTTCCTCACTGTTTTCCTCTGAGCAGCTTCTCTCACCATTGCAACTTCTATGGTGAAGTGTCTGTTCATATCCTGTGCCCACTAGAAACTTGTAAGACACTGAGAAGCCAACCTACAGGAGCCCGCACCTTCCCTCTGGGGTCATGCCCCAGCCTCAGTGCTCTACCAAGCTCCCTCCTTCCCCCCACTGCCAAGTTAGAAACAGACCAGTTCTTTTCAACTCCCTCCATCAATACCATGCCCCCGGTGACCTGTCCAGTGCCTGTTCAGAAAGACCCTGAGCTGATCGGGTACCTGGTTGGAACCTTTGATATCCTAAGGATGGTTCTCCTCCCTTCAGTCCAAAGCTCCCAGACACTGGTCCAGGATTATCACCCCCACTTTGCAACCAGCCACCAATTCCAGGCCTGTCAGTCTCTGACAGGAGCCCTGGTGGTGCAATGGCTAAGCTCTCCTCTGCTAACTGAAAGGTTGGTGGTTTGACTCCACCAACTGGTTCTCAGGAGAAATATGTGATAATCAGGTACGTAAAGGTTTCAGCTTTGGAAGCTCTCTGGAGCCACTCTGCTCTGTCTTGCAGGGTCGCTGTAAGTCAGAATTGACTCCAGGACAGGGAGACAGGTGGGTGAAACTCCAGGGTTTGGGTGGTACAATTGCAGCTCTGGTGGCCCAGCGGTTAAACACTCAGCTGCTGACCACGAGATCACTGGTACATCCCCACCTGCCACTCTGCAGGAAAAAGACTTGGCAGTCCGATTTAGTACATTTCTCTTGTCATGTGCCATCGAGCTGATTACAGCTCACAGTGACCCTATGAACAAAGATCTGAATCTTGCCATCTTCGCAATCTCTCACACACTTGAGTCTATTGCTGCAGTCACGGCGTCAGTCCGTCTCGTGGAGGGTCTCCTCTTTCTCTGACCCTCCACCTTTCTCAGCATGACGTCTTTTCCCAAGGACTGACCCCCCCTGAAAATCTGCCCCAAGTGTGTGAGATGGGGTCTCACCCTCCCTGCCTCCAAGGAACACGCTGGCCACACTTCCTCCAGGACAGATGTGCTCACTCCCTCGGCCATCCCAGGATGACCAGCACTCTTGACCAGCACAGAGTCCAGCCTTGGAAACCCGTGGGCTGTTCTGCTCTGCCTTCGAGGGTCAGTGTGAGTTAGAATCGACTTTACAGCAATGGAGTAAGCTGTGATTGGTCTTCTTCCTGCAACCAAGGTCCCCATGTGAGAGCACAGCTCTGAGGGTGAGAGTGTCTGTACCTTGTAGCCCTGGGATGGCCCCTCCCTCAGGCATGAGGCCCCTGCCTCTACTGCCAGCCAAACCCTTTTCCTCTTCCCAATACCCCTTTTCCCAAAACGAATGTGTCTTATCCTAAAGTCCCTTCCACTCTCACATCTCAGTGCCTTTAATAGCAAGCGCTCTCTCCCTGGAATTCCCACTCCTATCCTGCCTGGTAACTCTCTCTTTACCTTTCAGATCCAGCCTGGGTTTTCCTGCCTTGCAGGCAGGCCCTGGCTCCCCATGGAAGTGGAAGCTCTTCTGGGGCTCCTATTTCTGCTGTCCCACTCACCCCACTGTCTGCTCACCTCCCCAGATCCTCCCAGAAGGGGCCACGTGCCTGCCAGCTGTGAAACATTCCAGGCCCTCACAAGGTTGGCACTGCACAGCAGCCCAGCAAACGCTGGTTCAATGAACAGACCTGAGAAAATGGCATGTAAATAATTTTTAATATGTTGAAGCACATTAAAAATGCATTAGGAAAGCTGGCTATTTAGAGGAATTCTGTGGGGAATCGTTTTCTAAGAATGAGAACCTCTTTTTAATGGGAATAATAGCTCCCTCAGACACACGATGCCTCTGTCTGAAGGTCCATTGACAATATTGCCTTTCTCAGTAAGAGAACCTCATACAAGGACACTCTTTGTTGCCAGAAACTTCATTCCTGGGACAGAAATAATGCCAAAGGAATGGATAGGCCAGAAAGCATAATGTAATAATAACAAAAATCATGTCAAATGCCTAAGAAACAATAATAGGCATGTTCACTGGAGGTAAAGAGTGAAGGCTGAGCCAGGAGCAGTTAGGTGATTTTTTTTTTTACCCTGGCAGAGAACATTATATGTTTGGTTGCTAAATGAAAGGTCCTAGTTTCGAATCCATCAGCTGCTCCTTGGGAGAAAGATAGGCAAGCTCCTTCTGTAAGTGTTTACAGCCTCAGAAACCCAACGCAGAGTCGTCGGAGTTGAAATCAACCAGAAGATGGGGGGGGGGAGTGTGTGCGCGCGCGTGCATGCGCACACCCACAGGTAGTAAATGACGTGTCCAGCTCACGTACCTCCCAGCTGAAAAGTTGAATCCATCCAGAGCTGCCTCCCTGCCTCAGAAGAAGGCCTGGTGGTCAGCTTCTGAAAGGTCAGGGCTTTGAAAGCCCTGCCAAGCACAGTGCTTCTCTGCAGCTCATGACATTGTTCTGAGTCTGAATTAACTTGAGGACAAGGGTTTAATTTTTTTTTTATTTGATCCAAAAGTACAACAGCCGGGTCTTTGTTACAAATTGATGAAGATTTAAAAATTACGACAACAGAGCACCGATCCTTTTCCAGGTCCACAAGCCCCAGAGGGCAACCCTTGCCAGGGTGATGGGGAGACTTCAATGAAGCCCTCCGTGGCCCATGAAGGGAGAGCTGCCTGGTTGGGAGGCTGCCTCTAGGTGATTCCAGCCCACAAGTTCATGGTTCTCCCAACTGGGAAGGGAGCAGGTGATTACTGTCATTAGCTCTTGAGATGAGAGTGAGGTCCTAGTGGACTCCAGTTATTAGGGGAGATTTCTGTGATGAACCTCAACCAACTGATCTTTCAGAACGCCAGAATTAATGTTGCTTCCTCTGAAGAATGTGGCCTCAGAATTGGAGGAAAACTCCTCAACGACCTATGCTATGAAGATTATCCAACCTTGTTTACAAAAAAATGGAGAGCATTTGAAGAATGAGTTTCAAAAGATAAAAGAATACAACCCTCAATGTGGATTATTACACCTTACTATCAAGAAAGCAAATATCTTCACAACTGGACTGATATACAACATCAGGATAGATGGAGAAAAGAAGGAAGTTGTCAATTATTTAATTTTGCTTAAATGCAAAATCAACAACTATGCTTATAGCAGTCAAGA